CTGCTTGTCAGGTAGAGGACCCCCACTCCTCCCAAAAACTGCCCTGAGCCCCAGGCATTTGCCTTCTCTGGCACTAAACAAAAATAGCCTCCGAGATGGGGCAGCTCCATTTGAGTCTGAAACTCAGCTCTCAGTCTTCACTGCAATTTAATGGTACCATTTTAACAAGGGACTCACAAGCGTTGGGTTGTCCAGGGCTAGACCAACATGCTGGTAGGATAAATAGTACAGGTACTCATAGGTGCTGACTTTGGTTTTTGCTAAAAAAAAATAAAACTCCAAAAAAATGGCACTTAAAACTCAGCATGTTCCCTCGCCAAGCCTGGTGCGCGCCCAGATGAGGCAGTGCATTGCTTCAACCCGGCTCTGCAGTGTCTGTACAGATCGGGTGCTTCGGTGGAGCTTTTTGGTGCTTTTATCTAATAGCTGATTGAATCAGCGTTAGCTAAAAGCTCCAAAATGTCTTGCTGAAGTGCCCGATCTTTACAGGGTTGAAGTAATGCGCTGCTGCTTCCAGTAAGTGCCATTTTGGGTTTTTTGGATGTTTAATATCTGCAAGCAGCCACGGCAATGGCTCGTGAGTGCTGAGCACCAGCTAATATTTTTCAGTGGGTGCTTGAGCCCCGGAGCACCCACAGGGACAGTGCGTGTGCAGGCACTAGACGGAGCCGAAGGAAGCAATAATGAGACAGAAGGAGCGTGCAAGAAAATCATCGCTGTTGCTGTTTTATGTATGATAGTAGGTAAAACCATGAGCAGGATTGGGGTTATATTGTGCAAAGGACAGTACACATAGATAGGAAGCGAACTATCCTGTTTCAAATATGCATAAGCAAGCAAGACAAAGGAGGACAAATTATCCGCACTCCACAGCTGGTGAACAGAAACGCTGGTTTGCCCAAGGTCACGTAGAAAGTATGTGGCAAAACTAAGTGCTGAATTCCAGTTTCCTGAGTCACTTGATTTTTTTCTGTCTTTTCTTTTCTTTTCTTTTTCTTTCCCTCCTTCCTTCTCATTTGGTCTCTCTTGTATACTGTGACTCCAGAAAAACTCAGTATCGGTAGGTGACCTCCATCTCATTTGCATTTATGCTTGAACTTTCACGAGGATTGTACTTCCCATTGAAGGTGGCTGTTTTGCCGTTTGCATTACTGGATAAGAAAAAAGGAAAAACCCAAATTTTATAGAGACGCAAAATATCGGTGGCATAAAAATTAGCTAAAGCAAAGGCTGAACATGTGCAACTCCTCAGCAAGAATGGCCTTACTTCCTAGAGGTCAGTTTGCCACCACTAGAGATTTCCAAACTGTAAATCTTACCATATATTAGTCAGTAAAAGTCATGCACTGCAGCTTTCACTTCAGCTTGCTCAACCATCTCCGAGTTGTTTATCTAATGAAAGATGTGCTGGTTTAATTCCCCCCCCCGCCCCCTTCACACTTCTCAGCACCGCAAAAGTTTCAGAGCTATCCAGCTCAATTTCACGCCTGCGTGCAAACCACGTTTGAATCGCTGAATACTTTGCCCTCTTCCCTGTTGTGCCACAATACATTTTTCCCTCATTTGGTCCCTGAAGAGCTTCATAGCACTTTGAAAATTAAATATTCAGTACCTTCCAACCTCCTGCCCAGCTAAATGCCCCTTGCTGTTTTCACTGAAAAGCTTTAAATTTAACTAGATGGGCAGCAATTCCCTTTCCTTATAACCATAGTGTAACAAATTGTGACCGACTGAAAACAATACCGGGGTGTACATTTGTATTATGATTGGACATTAACAGGGTAGCGACGTTTTTCCCCAGCGGTAATTTCCAGTCGGTTGTTTCGATGTACCCGAGTGTAAAGTTGTTAAGGCCATTTGCAGTGGAAATCTGGGGAGGGATAGGCCTTCACTTGCCTGGGAAGTTGCAGTCTAGCAGTCAGCCTGCACATCTGCGGACTAAACGGGCCAGCCGCGCACCGACGGAAATGCATCAAGAACTCTCCTGCAAAGAAAGCTATTGAGACATGAAGTAAATATCCATATTGCCTGAATGGGACTCAAACAGCAAACAGCTGACCATTGTATTTGCCTCCAATGATGACTTCTAACAGTGCTACCTGCCGGGAGCAAAGACAGTCCAGTTAAGTCCAGGCTGTGTGCAGTTGCAGTCGTGGAGATCTCAGCCTCCCCTCCCTGACACAAAATGCAGTGGGCTTTATGATTGTCTTCAAGGGGAAAGTGTGCCAAGCTTCAGAGAAACACTTCTTGAGCAGAGTAACACGAGTGTTGCAGGTCTCGTTCTTTCTTTCCTCTTTAACGATTGCCTCGTGACATTGCTTCTTTCCTGCAGCGATACGCGTGCCCTGTTTCAGTTGGCAGCCCCGAGTGACACATTTGCATGGGAAACCCTGGGAAAATAAGTGTTCTGTCAAGGGCCTCTGGCCATATTTCTGTTTTGCCTCCTTTGGTTTTTATATGACAGGGATGGTATCCCCCCCCCCCCGTGCACCGTAACTCATGTAAATTGTCACTTTCTAATGGGCGCGTTGTTATTACTATCATCCCATCGCAATTATTTCATGTTTCCATTTACGCGAAACATTTAAGTGAAAGATACCACTAGAGCCTTCATGAAAAATGTGACCAATTTTCTGCCCCATCAGTCAAGACACACTTTGCTCTAAGTGCAGCTTGGAGCCATTGTCTCCCTTTTCCTTCAGCTGCCGTTCAGAGCCGAGAAGTTGGATGACTTACAGGGGGATGAGCTGCTTTATTTCTCAGTCTTCTCTTTAACCGTTTCCCTGTCTTTTCAGGAAGCTGTGGTGAGCACCTGGATCCAGTTCAGCGACGGCTCCGTTACCCCACTAGACATTTACGACCCGAAGGACTTCTCCCTCTCTGCCGTCTCACTGGATGAATCCGTTGTTTCGATCGGTCAGAGCACAGCCTTGAAGTGGCCAGTGGTGGCAGCAGAAGGTGAAGGGCAGGGGACGTTGATCAAAGTCGACATGATGATTTCCGAAGCCTGCCAGAAGTCCAAGAGGAAAAGCATTCTGGCCGTGGGCAGTGGCAGCATCAAGGTGAAGTTTGGGCAGAACGATGCCAACCCCATCACCGGCGGCGATTATGATCCCGACGAGATTGAAAATCACGCAAGCGACCGGCGGCAAAAGGCGTCAGATCAAGAGCGGTATGGCCAGGACGGGCGATATTATGGGAGCTCTTCTTCAGAGCGAGAGGAAAGCGCTATCAGAAAAGTCAGCACCACAGCAAAATCCATGATCAAAAATAAAGTCGTTAAAAACCGTCTGGATGGAGGCAAACTCTCAGACGACGGCCAACTGCAGAACATCCCTATAGATTTTACCAACTTCCCTGCTCAAGTAGACCTCCCCAGAAGCAATGGGGGCATGGAGGAGGATGACCTGGTGCAGACACCCAGGGGCCTTAGCGATTTGGAGATCGGGATGTATGCCCTGCTGGGGGTCTTCTGCCTGGCGATTTTAGTCTTCCTAATAAACTGTGCAACATTCGCACTGAAATACCGGCACAAGCAGGTTCTGGTGGAAGGACAGACCAGCATGACCCACTCCCATGACTGGGTCTGGCTCGGGAACGAGGCGGAGCTACTGGAGAACACGGCAGATATGTCGCCTCAACCGGACGAGCACACCACTATCATCGACCGAGGGCTCGGTTACGAGGAAAGCAACCATCTCCTCAACGGTAGCACTCAAAAAAACATTCAGACCCAGATCCATAGGTCTGCTGACTCAGGGGGCAAGCATGGGAAGGAACAGAAAACTGAACCACTGCATTCCCCCACGTCCAAAAGAAAGCGGGTAAAATTCACCACGTTCACCACCATCCCACCCGACGATGGTTGTCCCACGGTCAACTCACTCTTAAGTAACAATGATGATGATATTAAGTGGGTGTGTCAGGACATGGACCTTGGGGACTCCAAAGAGATAAGAAACTACATGGAAAAGTTCAAAGACAAAGTGTAGCTCCTCTCTGGTTTCATGGGTTTAACCACACCGTGATGCCTTCAGTTCTACAGTCTGTATTGGGACAGGAAGGTGGGCGGGGGAGGGAATCCCGAGGAAACCACATGACAAGGCCGTTTCCAAAATCAGGGAAGGGAATCTGCCAAACTGTCCGTGATTCTTCCCCCCATGCGATTGATCTATCATTCATAGATTTAAGAAGGAAGTGGAATATAAGTAACAGAACAAGGAAATGGATTGACCAATATGACAAACTGGGCTAGGTGAGGTTGTAAAAATCAATTTTATGGGTCAACACCATAATAACAGCAGTATTACAGATGAGGTACAAAAATATTTGTATAAAGAGAGCGGGGGCGGGAAATAAAACAATAAAAAAGAAGCAAAAAAACCCCACCTGGTTTCTATTTGTAATAAAACATCAGAAATATTGAGGTGTGGCCCACAAAGAGATGTTTTAGAGTCTTACCCAAGCAGTTGCTTTCTATTTCTCCATCTGAAATGAAGACATGCCCTTGGTATTAAATTAGGAGGAAAAAGAGATTATCGGATATTTGTATTTCTACTTTTTTATTTGCCCCTGTGCTGGAACTGCCCTCTTCATATTTTATTTTGAATCAAGTCTTTTTTCATTTGAATCCAGTTCTTAATGGACCAAGAAACATTTTATTCCTAAATTGGCTTTAAATAATCTTCCTTGTCACCTGAAGAGCTCAGAGGATGAGTCCCAGCATAGTGTCTCCTCTAAAAGCATGATCCTCAACCAGACCCCCTACGTAGACACTTATTCTGCTTCAAGGAGATTCGAAATTTGCTTTCAGGTTTGGGCTATTTGCATTTCTGTCTTTTTTTTTTTCAAATAAAATTTCTACAACCAAAGTTCCCATGTTTCACCAGGGGAAAAAGGTGCTGTTCTATGTTTGCATTTAAAAATAACAGCCAATGGGAATGACCTTACCGTACATAAAAGTGAGACCGTCCAAGGCCAGATAGGTGCCCTGATTTGTATCCTTTGCTGTCTCCATAAATGTATAACTCGCTCTGTAATTTGTTCTGCTCGTTGTTTGAGTATCACCAGTTCTTGTCAGATGGGATGAAAGGCTGGGAACCATGCTTACAAAGAGATTGTCCGAAAAAAATTGGTTTCTCTGTATGGCGAGAGCTGGACTGTTAGGCTGATGATATCATTTTAAAGAGATAAAAATGCAAATGAACTGGGATCAAGCAATATCAGGCACTACTTCCTATTTTTTATCGTTGGACTAATTCACAGGGAAAAGTCTAGGTTAGATTGTAAATCAGGTCTTTTTACTAAGAAAATACGAGTTCGGTCATGTGTCTGAAGAAGATCCTCAAATACAAACACACACAAATCCTCAAACAAATACCAAACCACAGTCTGCCAAAACCAGTTTTGATTTCATGGAAGCCATCACATCTGTCCTTTTTGGAAAGCAGTGTTATGTCTTGACTGTCAGCAGGGGGCATTTGCATTGTCTGACAACCCCTGTCTTGACCCATTTACTCCAATATATATATATTTTTATTACTAAACTCAGTAGGTTTCTTCCCCCCCCCTTTATTTGGAGAAAATGCACCCTGCCACTTGATAACATAGACGGGCGTTTTAACAAGATATGCCTAGTATGCATTGTAGACTGAAAGAATGTAATATTTATTTATACATGTTATACAAATTGTAATTAAAATGCTTTACATGGCTTGACAAGTTAACCTCTTTTTTGAGGGATGTTTTTGTCATTTTCTTGCTAGGCAAAAATACAACCCTACCCCTTGTTGCATTGCTTAGGAAGCATACGAACTGCTTCTTGAAGCCAAGAGTATAGGCACAGAGATCCACCCCTCCCTTGTCTCTGCCTCTCCATCTTCCCTTATAACCTTTCACCAAATCCTCTTCATACCCACTACGTGGTGACGATGATGGATGGCAGGAGGGGACAGCAGGCAGGCAGAGTTTGTGGCAGTGTCACCATTAATCATGCTCAGCTTCATGCTTATCATCGGTATGAACCACTCCAGAAATCGTGCTTCCGAGGCGTGCAACTTTTTTTGCCACCCAGTCATAATTAATTGTCCTCCTCCTGTGACTGATACATGGGTTCAGACATGGGGCCGTTGCGCTGAATAATAACCGGCACACACAAAGCACCTTTTATCCCAAAGGACCCTAAACTGATTTTAAGCTAAGCAAAGGGATGCATCAGCCAGCCACAGGGGACTGCTGCATCTTACCCAGGAAATGAAGCCACCTCCAGAGCGAAGCAGAGGCTGAAGAGTCAGGAAGAGAAAGGGAACGAGAAGGATGTCTGTCTAGAAATCCCGCTGGCAGGTACCTAGGTGGAATATTTTACTCCAAGTGAATCTGGCCAGGACTCCTGCAGGAGGATCACTTTTGATCCAAACTAAGCAGGTCATTGGATTGACATCCGGTGTGAAAGGTAGCTGCCCCCTGTGACGATGCTCTCTGTTAGCCCCTGCAAGGCTGGATCACTGGTGGCTCTGCCGAATCACCAGGATCAGTCTCTGCAACACCTCAGTGCTTCGGCTCAGAGTCAGCCGAATCCAACTTCACTTCTCAGATTTGGCCAGCTCAGAGCAGGAAGCCATAGCTCCCTATTGCACCAAACTGCTGGTTAGCAAGAATATTCTTGCTACCCTACTGAAGGCTGGTCCTCTCGGTATGTGTTTTCACCATGGTCTGATGGCATTATGCCAGGCCCCATCTTGTGGCCTTTATCTTGCGGGTTCTCTAGGGAGAGGCGTGCCTTTCCCCAAATTGTCAAGAAACTGCATTTTTCATGGAAATTAAAACATTTTCCAAATTTCTCATGAAGAAACACTGGTTTCCAGCCTTCTCTTGATACAAGTGCTCGTTGGGATACCCGTTCTCACACTGCTGTATCTTGCAGCTTAGATTTACTCTCCTTTGGAAAGGGTCTTTTATAGGAAGCTTACAGTGCATGCCCTGTACTGGATTGAAATATTCATCTTTCCCATTCTGGTTATTATTTTGAATATAACATACACTTCTCTGCATGCCAGAGAGCTGAAATTGGATTAGTCTGCAATAGCGAGTGTTTGGAAAGACTTCCTGTCCCATGGGCAATGCACAAGAATGATGCTAACAGTGATATCTGCTCATTCATGAGCAATGCGGATCCCGTTGCTGGTTCGCGGCGTGGCGTGCCTTCCTTGTCTGGCTCTCGATTCAGCATGGCATCCGAATAAAAACTGTGAGAGACCCAGTTTCAAAGCAGGCAGATGTCCAAAGGCCACTGAGAGAAGCCATGGGAGTTCGGCACCTAGTGCCACCCACTCCTTTTTGAAATCTGCACTACCCAAGGGCTTTCGTCTTGCACAGAGGATGGTACGTGAGATTTGCAGTGGCCATTGTTTGCCTAACTCATTACACTGCTTGCTCCTTGGTGCCTTTTTTAAGAACAGAGGGCAGTCATTAGCCATGCTAGTCTTAAGCAGAGGCGAGGGTAGACTTGCATCTTGTACACTAGGCCATACAAATCTCCATCCAGTTCCCAAGCAGTAAGTGAACCCAGCCCAACTCCCAAAGAGGTCACGCTTCTTGATGGTGAGACCAGGAAGACAACAAGCACAAGCCATTCACTGCACTTCCACGTATGCTTTAAATTCAAGCAACCAAAGGTCACAGGATACAACTAATCCCTGCTGCAAAGGGGCTGCTGAGGGCCCCGCGGGGAGCAGAAATAACCTAGCCCTAGCTCTTTCTCTTTAACTGCTTCTTAGTGCTCATCTACATTTCCCACGTGTTTGCACGACAATGTTTAGGGGCACCTCAAGATCAAGGCACACGGCCCCTCCCTGGCGGGACTAGAGAAATCCCATCACGGAGGTGAAACGTGCAGTCGTAGCCAGGGGCTGTTATTAGCACTTCTACCCCTGGGTTTTTCTCGAGCTGAGAGTCACAGCCACCCGCCAAATGAGCAGCTGGCCAAATCCTCACTCCTCTAAATGACTGTGGTGCCACCCCAGTCACTGAGAGGGGCTGCACTGGCTGACCCCAGCACTGAAGATCCGAGTCCTTTCTTTCAATGAAAGCTGGGATCACGTTGCGCGGCCTCAGCAGAGAACGCAGTCTGAGCCGGTGGGTTTTTTGGGGGGGTGCAACGTCTCATCCCAGTTCTCCTGTTACAAGGGATTTGGGGGCAAAAGAGCTAAAATGCAAAGCACACTTGTGTACCCCTGCTCCCGGTCAGGCCTGTTTGAAATGGAAATCGTGACAGTGGGGCTTTCCTAATCCTCCAACAAACATATGCTGGGAGAGGTGCTTCCCGGAAAGCTATTGAACATCAGGGACCCTGGGGCTCAATGCCTATCTGGCTGTGAAGGCAGACGGGGCATTTTTGCTCCCATAGGGAGCCTCATGCCAGCCAAGGTTTCACTCCACGGTAGAAATGACTAGCATGGGACTGAGCAGCGCAACACCACATTGTGCCACAGAGACATCCCCCTATTATCCATGCAGCAGTGTGACCACAGCACCGCTCAGCGGCCCAAACCTGTTCCCCGAGCGCTGCCAGGACAATCGGCAATGGCAAAATGGGGCTTCGGGCTTCATCCAGAGCCCATGGAAGCCAACAGGGGAATGGGTGTGCACCCGCTCCAAGCCAAGCAGTGGCGCCAGCATGCGCTGACCCCCCCACAAACGGGTGCACCTCCATGTGCAGCTGAGACAGACGAGCCTGCTAGTGCACGTCCACCCGTTTGGGGGATTAGCACGGCCTGGAAGTGGCATAGCCATGCACACGGTGGCCTTCTCTTGACTCCGCCTGGCTTGAGCGTGGGTCATCGGCCTACAGCTGAGTGTCCCAGTCCTGCAAAAGCCCTTACTTACAGGAGAACCAGCTCATGGGCAAGGCAACATGTTTGGACAGAGTGCCAAAAACACCCGCCAACTCGGCTTGTAAGAAGTTGGCATGCCAGGGGCAGACAGCGGGGGAGCTGCGAGGGGCCTGATCCTTGTTGTGGCACTGCAGCCTGGACCCCTTCCCTGCCATCTGCCCCAAGGTGTGCGTGCCAAGCCAAATGCCTTCACGTGCCACGCTCCGGTACCCATGCTGGGGGTTGCCAATCCCTCCTGTTGCTGCTTATGTGCCCCAGTTCCCATCCATGTGAAGGAGCACCAGAGGCTCCCCACATCTTGCAGCAGACACATTTTGAGTGCTCCTCATTCACGTGTACGATCTAATTCAACTCAATGGGGCTATTCATGTGCACAAGGGAGGCAGGATATATGGGCACTAGCTTATTACAGCACAAGGAGGCTGTGATTTCTTGATAGGGGAGGGAAGGCAGCTTTTCTGAGAGCCCCGCGCTGTGCCAGGCAGGGCTGCTTCAGAAGTTTTTGGGCCAGGAGGAGTGAGGAGCAATGCAGGTCTAGTTTGACTTCCTGCATGACGCAGGTCACAGCTTTCCACACGGTGATTCCTGCATCGTGCCAAATAACTTCATGGTTGAGCCCACCAGAGTGCATCTGCCAGGCTGGGCGAGCAGGGGAAGCCTTGTTGGAAGAGCAGGATGTGGGCAGGGAAAAGGGAGAGCGCAGCCCTGCCTTTGCATCCCATTTGTCTCTCGCAATGGCTCACGGCGCATTAGAGGCCGATGCAGAGGCTGAAATTTTTCCGGGCATCTTCCCTTGACCAAAAACACTGTCAAAACCCACTGCTGTCTGAGCCAGGGCAAATGGGCATCTCAGCAGGGAGGCAACTGCCAGGCTGTGAAATATTATTTATTTGAGGAATTCACATCGGGTCAGGTGTCAGGCTTTGCATTGCTGGAGCTTTGCGGTGCTGCCGTTATGAAGGTGCGGGGATGGGGCAGGGAGAGCCGCGCCGAACGCCCCTCTTGGCGATGTCTTGCACTTGCTCCCCAATCTAGAAGCAGCAGGGGTGCGTGGTTGCAAAGATAACGTGCCCCGAGTTATATTTTCTGCCAGGGAACCAGGATGGAAATTCATTAATAATCATTTGCTCTTACAGGAGAAAGAGAGAGAGTCTTTCATCTCAGTGATTTACAAGCATCAGGCCTTCAGAAAGGGGTAGCGATGACATGAGAAGGCCGAATTAGCCTCATTACTCTCACATCCACCAGAGCAGGTAGGTACCTACTTCAGAGGCTGTCACAAGGTGAGCTGGGTCTGCCTGGGGGAATAAAAGTGCAGGTCCTAGTGACGAGGGACTAGTGCCAAGTCCCTGCTACAAATCCTGCAGAGCAGGAACTCAGTCCTGTGCCCCTTGCATTGCAGGGGAGTCCCCCCCTCACCACTAGGCTGTTGGCTTTTCTGGGGTGGGAGGGTGGCTGAGATGTACAGCGAAGGTATCTCCTGGGCTTTTATTTAAATAGTCACTTTGCTGGAGTTGGTCTTCTTAAGACAGAAAGACATCCCACAGTAACAAGCTCCCAAGAGCTCTGCAGGCCTGAGACTCATCTGCCCCTAGAAACCGGGACCAACATGAAGCATCAGATGAGCATGGAGCAAAGCACCTCAAAGGCTTCAGAGGCACCGCAAAATGCACGCGGCACACGTGGAAAGGTTCTCTGGGCTGCACATCTGCAGCGCGGAGCCAAAATTAGATACTGGGAAATTCCCGTATCTTAAAAATGGTTTTAAAAAAAGCAGGGGGGCACATGTGGCTGTAGTGGGCACTGCCTGAAACTGGAGCATGGCCAGCCAGAGC